AAATGTTATTTTGTAAACTTGTCTCATTCATATTCAACACACTAGTCACTAAAACTCCGCTATTGCAATTTTCTGATATCACCTGAGGTCCATAGATTAGTTTACGTCCGATCATGGCCACCTAGATGCAATTTTAAAAGTGACTCTGAAAAAATCAAGTAGGCTGAAAAACTTCCGGAAATGTCAGTTTCTGATCCAGAATTGTCTCAGAAATCCAAAAATGTTACAATATACAGGGTGTTCCATTTAAAAATTCAGAACCGGAGCCATTTCCGCTGAAACCGGAAGTGACCGGAAAGTGAAAAATATGTGAAAACTCTCCTCTCCACATACCATTTATCTGTACCAAATCTCGTTTTGATACACCTAATAGTCTAGAAGTTATGACTTGTCTAATAGATTCGTTGACACCCGGTATACTGTAATTTTGGAGTATGTTGAAAGACATAAGGAAATTAATTCTAGAGAAGAAGTAAAGTTTCTTAGTAATTTTTTTACTTATGTAGAAAACATGTTCATGCAATAATAGGCTATTATCAAATATGAATCCAAGATATTTAAACTGGTTTATGAATTCAACTTTATTGTTATCTATTTACAGATTGAATTGGTTTGATTTGAGGTTTTTGTATTTAAAGGGTGTGGTTAGGATCACTGCCTTACATTTTGTCACATTGAGTTTCATTTTGTTAATATTGAAATATACTTGTAGTTTTGATAGGGAATCGTTCATCTTGTTGATAGTACCATACAGATCATTGCCTGAGATTGACAGTAACGTGTCATCTGGGAATAAATTAAGAAAATCACAGTCATGATGTATTGTATATCATTGATATACCATAGGAATAATAAAGGACCCAAGACACTTCCCTGTGGTACACCGAAGTTATTGGTGATGGGAGCCGAGAATACATTTTCCACTTTGGTGATTTGTTTGCGATCTGTTAGGTAGTCCCTGATCCATTTCAATACAGTACCTTGTATGCCTATAGCTTTCAATTTATCAATCAGTATTTGGCAATCAATCGTTTCAAAAGCTCTCTTTAAGTCCAAGAAGACTGCAACTACATAATCACCACTATCAATTGATTTTTTCCATTTTGTTATGGTTAACTGTAGTGATGCTTCGCATGAATGATTCTGTTTAAAGCCTGATTGATAAGTCATTAACAAATTATTTTGATTCAGATAATCAAGTAGTTGTTGGTAAACAACTATCTCCAGCACTTTTTCTATACCAGGTAATGTATCAATTGTCTGAACTCCCATGCTTTATTAGTATTTGCCACCTTCTGAATAGGGGTTAAAATACTTGTTTTCAGCTGACTTGGAAATGTGCCATAAAATAGTGAGATATTGATAAAGTGTAATAACATATGACCAATAACTCCAAAGGTCTGTTTTATGAATTTAATGTCAATGATTTCACTAGCAGTCTTATTCTCCAGTTCATGTATAATTGTGGAAATCTCGGGTAATTGAATTTGTTTGAATTCAGAAAAGTGACTGTTAACAGTAGTAAGGCTATTTCATTTTGTGGCCTTTTCAATTGAGTTCAATATTTCTTCAATTCTTTTAACGAAATACATATTGAATAACTCAGCAATTTCGTGTGTTTCTCGTACTATTTTTACCACACCATGGTACTCAAATTGTATTCCACTATCAAAACAAGGGACTTTAGTTTTTGTATCAACCAAAGATTTTAGGGTTTTCCACATTGCTTTGGGATTATTCTTGTTGAGATCTACTATCATAGAAATACTGTTGTAAGTTAAAACACTCATTTCTCAATATTTTGTATTGTTGCCAGTTGACATCAGACTTGTTAGTTTTGAATGTCCTGTATGCTATGCCTCTTTTTTTTACTTTTACGTTTCATCTCCTGATCAAACCAAGGTATATTCGTTTTTTTAATCAATTTCTTCATGGGAGCAATTTTATTTACTACTGATTCACACTGATTTTTTAAATCTTCATAGATTTTATCTACATCTACACAATCCAACAGGAAGTAAACTGATATCAGGTCAAGGTTGATTTTGTCTATATTGGTTGAATTAAGATTTCTATATGGCTTAATACTTGTCATTGCGTTAGTTGTAAAATTATTTATCAAATTTACAAATATAATGGAATGGTCTGTGATTTTAGGAACATCATGAACTGTTGAAGTTACTTCGAAATTTGTAAGTACATAATCGATGATAGTAGAACTAGTATTGAGCCATATGTATTGGGAATATTCTTTATCCTTCTACAGTAAAAATCATTGGGGAGATAATTCAAGTTGAAATACTGAATGACTCGAACTTGGGAAATAGTATAATGCACCAACTAAAAATTTAATACCGTTATAATTTACCCTAATCACTATACACCAATAATTTCCTTCCAAAATGAAAGTTTTGTGAACAGAATAACTTATGTTACGTCTTACATATATCAGAACCCCTCCAGTTACATCTTAGAGTTACATCTTATCAGAGTATAGTTATCAAGAAATATTTCTGCATCCTCAATATCAGATGTCGTTTGGGTTTCACTGAACAATATCACTAAGGGGTTATTACATAAAATGTTAACAATAACTTGTTCTCTATTTGCTGTGAAACTTTGAATATTCATATATAAGATGTCGCTATTGAGTGGTATACTAGAATGTTTCACGAGTTTTTTTGAACTGAACTCAAATTGACAATCGTAGGCTTATGGTTGATGTATTTGATAATTTTAGATTTATCACCATTTGCTTTAAATCCATCTAATTTATTTTTTAATAATTGATAAACAATTTTCATTTTGAAAATATTTTTCCGCAATTTTAACAAACGTATTTTCTTCCACAACAAAATACACAAATATCCAAACAGAAGTAATGACAATCTGTTAGATACAATAGACTACTCCCCTGTTGTATTTTCTACTGCAACACAAGTAATCAATCAATTACTACAACCTACTAAAGTTGTTGGAGCTGATAACAACAATTATGAAAATCTCCACATCAACTCGACTTTGATAGTAACTTGCAGACCATTTTAGTCTTCACTCTGTTAAATACTTTTATTTGTATTTTGCTACCATTCATTCATTCATTGGAAATAAAAAATAACCCATTCTATTTGATCCACTAATCCCCACTAATAAAGATAAATTAAATTGAGAAGATAACAAAGATATGAAAATATCATCTATCTGTGATGAACTTTATTTCAATAAATGTGAGTATCTTAACATTGTACGATGTGAATAACGGTAATTAGTTTGAATTAATTGAATAAGAAAACAGAAATTAGTCTCACCTTTGAGCTCGTTTATGTGAAAATCAATAACAAGGTATAATATGCTATTTATTCTGTCGACACTAGGTAAACTTTATGCTCAGGCTAGTTCAGATTGGTGCATACTTTATTAATATTGAAAAATTTTTGAGAAAAATTATCGAATATTAGTAAACTAGTACATATACAAATTTTTATTTGCTTCAGGTTACTGAGGAAGACCAGTTTAAACTGATCCGACTCTTTTCATCGTATTTTTTCCAGAAATGAAGGTTTTTAGAAAAAAATTATCAGTAGTTTCATGACGGAAGTCATATGAGGGTGATTATCCAGGCTAGGTCCTGGATAACCTGGATAACCACTTGACAATTTATCATCTTTAAAAGTAATTGATGAATATAAAAGAGTGGATTTGCTTTTTTTGTCAACTTTATCTGCAAATTCACTGTTTCATATTTATATAACAGAGGACAAAAGTTTTCTCTTGTAATTGATAAATGCAGATTACACAGTGAAACTTTGTACGAGAACAATTTTAGGAGGTAGTTCATTGATTTCTACATTTACAAATCAAATAAGAGTTGAAGACGAAGTGAGATGAATATATAGGGTGATTAATTTGAAAACCTTTAGTTTTTCTGAAGTTTGAAATGTCACAAAAATTTCTACAAACATTAAGGGGGTAATGAAATTTTGCCAAGAGATAATTACCACATGTCTTAAAATGACCAATTTCTGAAAAAATGATTTCAAAACCTCCTGTTCTTAAACAATTTTGACATTAGTAGTTTTTTGGTATCCAAACGGCATCAGTAGAATAATCAGAATTATTTATGCGATAGAAACGCCAAGAATAACATTGAGAAGGTCAACAATTTTGATTTCACTACTACATTCCTAAAAGTTCCACTGACTGAGGTGGAATAAAAAGTAGTAACTGGAATAGAAATCAAAAGCCTCAAAATGACTGAAATGGTAAATCCATAGCAAAAAGCAAAAAATGGGGTTAAGGTAGCACGTCATACTTTTTTATTTTACAGAAACAATAGTACATAAAGTAAGTGGGCATACTTGAAGACTGACTATAAATGAAATTATCTACTATCTATTATATTGTAGGTTAATGGACTGACACCTATCAGAAAACACTTTCTCCCCTGGCTAATACCACGAAAGGTGTTGGATTATATCCGACAGGTATCGGTGCAGGATTCTTCACTGAAGTTATTACTACATATGCTGTTGGCGATACAACTGCCGGAATTGTTTTTCAATTATTGGAACACACTTGCAAACCGGTTTTGGGCTGTTTGGCCACTCGTCAGTGCAAAGTAGTGTCTATCATCAACATAAAGTCGATGATTTCTCATAATTGGAAATTGAATTACTTTAGAGTATCGTTTCTCGAACTAGGCTGAAGCGAACGACAAACAACATGTTTGTCATCGCCCCATCTACCTATGAACGAGGTGACCAACCGCATATCCAAATTTGTCCAAATTCCTCGCTTCAGCCAAGTTCGAGGAACGATACTCTAAAGAAATTCAATAACGGTTTGGTGTTGGCAAAAAACTCCAGTAATATTCATTATTAAACCAAAGGTTCCAAACAGTACATCACAATTATTCAATACATACTTAATTGAAAATGTTTCAACAAATTTTGTAGGCATGATTATAAAAGGATTGGAAAGAGTTTTGAAGAACAGCACTGAAACATGCATTGACAGTGATGGATGAGCATTTCTTTAAACAACATACTAGTTAGTTTATTATATGTTACTGTTAGTGGAACACTAGACAAAAAATATGGAAACTATTCAATTTTCAAGGAATGGGGAAAGAAAAAAGAAGCAGCTGGAAGTTGGTATTTTTTAAAAGCGATTCAAAAGATTTTCAGTCATTTTTAGTAGAGTGGAAATTATGGTGGGAGATAATTTGTGACCAATGGAGATATTATGAACTATGACCAAAAGATTTCTTTTGTGTCTTCTTTTTATTTATGAATGTATAATTACTAATGATGCTTCGAAAATTTGTTTGGTATTCGAAATTTGTCATTTTTTCACTATTAGTATTCGACCGAATCATTCAGTTTTGGTGCCCCGAATATATTCGGTTAAAGTATTCATATTCTCTTGACTACACGACACGGTATAGAACTATAAGACAAAACTTCTTTGTAAGACATATCATATTATTGAGTCAAAGAAATCCTATGAAGAATGTGTTGAATAAAGCTGATAATCAACATTTATTTTCTTCAAATCAATATTCAAACAATTCAGCCAAATATGTGGTTTGGTAAAGGTTAAACCGAATAGTATTCGGTATTCAGTGAAACTACTATTCGGCGCATCTTTAATAATTAGTTTTTCTTCAGAATATTGTGAACATTGTAATCTTTTGGACTATTTGTTTTTTCACAGGAAACATCTCTCTCATAAATCACATGAGATGCATTGACGTCTCATACTTCTCATGGAAGTCATTAAATCAAAGTAAATCAACAAATACCATGACATTAACATGATATTAAGAACAAAATACACTATTTTTCAGGTCACTTAGGGCAGAATGAGTTCAAATATCATACTCATGAACCAGGAATCTATGGTAGATCTAAACAGTATCTAGTATTGAATCATAAAGCTTTCAGGTTCTGGTTTCATAAAAAAATGATTCATATTCATATTAATTTTCCTACCTTAAATCCAAATGTGTTGGTCTAGTAGCTGGCAAACCTGCTCCTGTTTCTTTTTCCAGAAGTGAACCATTCAAAGACCCCATACTATTGATCTCTTTGACTTCTGCTCCGTGGAAGTTGGTTTTTGAGGGACCATAATTTGTTTTGAAACTATTAGCATTCATCAACACATCTGCTGGAAGACTGTAGTTCACATCTTCTTCTTCTAGATTTGGAATGGCATACAAGTCTGGATGGGCTGCCACAGTCCTTGGGACATTCCCCCCATGATTGGGCAAGACATCTGCAGGAAAAGCATATGAATCATCAGGCATAATTTGGTTTGCATCCCGCTCATGTTCTGCTTGCTGCTGCTGTTTCTTAGCTATTGCTTTTTGCTTTGCTCTTTCTCTTGCACGTTTTGCCTTTGCTCTTTCTCTTTCTTGTAATAACTTTGCGAGCTCCTTATCCTGAGCTTCTATGGCTAGCATCCTGTCCCTGTTCAACAGGGAATCCTCTAGAGACCCCTCTTGCTCTTGCAGTTTACGAGCTAGCTCTGCATCCCGTTCCTCTTGAATCTGTCTTTCAGTAATTTCGTCAATGGGAAGGCCAATTTCATCAATATCTATTCGATTAAACTTATCCGATAACTTATGGACCGGATTGTATGGTTCGTTGTATATTTCAGCACTGCTAATTTCACAGAATTGGTCAGTGCTTGTGCTAATAGGGTCGACATAGACTTCATACGCTGTGGTACTGGATTGTGGTAGAGGCATAGCTAAGGCTTGTCTTCGCGGTAAATTAGCCTGATAATTCTGCGGATTCGGACGATGGGGTGAAGCTTGAGATTCATATTTTGGTGGTAACTGAAGTGGCTTTTGAGGAGAATACGGAACACCTGTGATCGGCATTTGTTGAAATTTCTCAACTTTGAGCCTTTCTTTATCTAATAGTTGTCTAGCAACTGCCTGATCATGTAATTCCAATGCTCTGAGCTTCAGTTTTTCTTCACGTTCCATTTTATCTGCTAAATCTTTGGCAATTTTGTTATCAATTTCTTCCTGCTCTGCCAACATCTTGTGGTAAATAGCAGCTGCCTGTTCAGCCATTCTTTGTTCTCTAATTTGCTCATCTTTTGCTCGGGGGAAATCCTCGCGCACCACTGCATTTCTGAATTTATTTCCGGTTAAATGTTCGTCAAACTCTTGGTTTTGCAAACGGTAGGCCAGAGCGCTATCCTCTCTAACCATCCATTCTTGGCAAACTTCGGTCACTCTTCCTGTCTTTGGGAAGTTTTCTACTTCGGGCATTCTTGCGTTTGACATTGTAATGTATTTTTCTCACAGTTTTGACTACATCGCATTCAAAAAGGCACTTGTAAAGATTTTAATATTTACTGGATTTTGTAAATGCTGAATACAGGTCACCGGTTTCAATTAAAAATTAAAGATCATTATTATTTTTCCTCTCTCCATAGACAGAAATTCCTCATTCGAAAAAGATGCAATTTTGGAAATCTAATGGGATAAAGCGAGAGCGAAATAAGAAATTACTATTAAATTAAATTGAATGTAAATAAATTGAGTCATTTTGACACATGAGGCGTTTTCTGGCGCTAATGTATTCAAAACGTGATTCAAATACATTTGTTCTGGAGTTGAAACGATGACGTCAAATCAAATATTTGTAACGTTTTCATGATGATTCGAAACTAGCGGGAGGTTGGGGCGTTTTCTGGCGCGTATGTATTCAAAACGTATTCGTCTTTCATCTGTGATTCAAATACATTCATTCAGGCGTTGAAACGATGACGTCACATCAACTATGATTTGAAACGTATTCATTATGATTCAAAAGCGTAAGGTTGGTTTCGAAACGGAATTTGACGTTATGTTACGTCAGTTGTCAGTTTCTGCTTTATTTTGTTCGTTATAGTTTGTAAAGTGCTGAAAACTTTTCATCAAATTTGTTGTAAGGATGTACAAAATAAAGTCGGAAAATTATTACTTGCACAATTCCGATTCTAATTGAGGTTAGAGAAAATTGAAAAGTTTGTTTTTATTATTGACTTTGACATCTGAAACAAATTGAATCATTCCATTCTGACGAATCTTATTATGAATCGTTTTTGAATACACGCTCGAATACGATTAAACGCCAGAAAACACCTATGCTGATAATTTTACCAATACGTGCCAATACCAACATGCAACATGCATTTCAGGGACTTTTTAGCGAAATAAATAATGAGATTTTGTTGAAGAGTATCAGTTTCAATTCTATTTTGAAGAGATTGCACGAGGACGGAAATGGAATTTTTTTTTAATATCTAAACCTCATACTCTAAATTCACTATCATGAATTATTTAAATTAATCGAGTCACTGGAAATATTTTTTTCAGCTCTCTTCATAGTTACTTTTCCTTTACGTGTAAAGAAAGGAAAACTTCCAAATAAGATACAAATCGCAAAAAAGTTTCCATGAAAATCAAATTTTGCATCAATTTATAACGTAGTGGGATGGGTTTGCAGTTTTCACCAAAGATCATTTCTTACAACCTCAGAGTAACAAAAGACAATAGGCCTTTTCCATCCTCACATTGAAGGCAGCATAACTTTGTTTGTTTACGGGAAGTAAGTTGGACCATAAAACAGTGGCGGTTGGTTCAGTTGATAATCGGAGGGAGAGCATATATTTATAAAATAAATCATTTCAGGTGAAAAATGTATTCTGTTCAAATAGTTCCTACACAAAATCTGATTTATCATTAATGATTATGGAAATGAGGCCAGTTTTTCTACCACCTACTAGATTTTTATTTATGAATGGCTTTATAATAAAGCGCGTGGTTTACTGGGTTAAAATAAAATTATTTCATATGAACTAAATCATACCAATGATAAATGTTAATTTAAAAAGTAATGAACTTTGCTTCATATAATCAGATGAAGAAATTTGTGATTTATTCTCAGATTGTATAAACAAGCGGTACGGTTTGTGAGGTCCGATATGAAGAATTTTCGATTAGAAATCATGGATATTTATAATTACGATTGAGGTTTGATATCATTCAAAATTGGTATCTAGGGGCCTTTGTGGACCGACATTATGAAAGGGGATATTTTTGATGTTTTTAATGATCATTTTTTTTGATCTTATTCTTATAAATAGAGTTTTTGAAACTAGGTTTATATTATTTCATTATTTGACATATCCCAACCAAAAAAATGTTAATGCTTACCTATAACTGGTACATTGACGTAAGAAAATTATGGGTGAATTTTATTATAACTTTCGTGTAATGTTGACTCATAACAATTTTAAATACTAAACCAATTCAAAGATTGCAAACTTGTGAAAACCATTTGTCATTATTGGACATAGTAATAGTATCTGTTTTATATTGAATAGGAATACCTTCAAGAAGAATAATGTTTCACTGCATAATACCTTTAAAAATTATGAATTTCACTTTTCAAGTATCTGATTACTTATGTTCTTTATAATAAGTTAGCAAGTTCATCATTCTGTGTTTTTAAAGCCAATAGTCTATCTTTTTCCAAAGCTTCTTGCAGAGAAACTTCTTGTATTTGCAATCGTATTGCCAACTCAGCATCTTCTTCTTCCTGTATAGTATTTTCTTGGCTAAGATTACCTGCTTCTTTTTGTTGATGCAGATCACACGAAATAACATTATAACCAGAAGAATTATTTGTTGTCAGAGACTCTGTTTGAGTTGACTTGTTGTGAAGTGAATTTGTAGTTGAACTTCCTGCTTTCGGAAAATTATTTTGAGGATCTTGATAATTTAAGTAGTGAAGATTTGAAATATGTAACTCATCATTAATAACAACGTGATTGTGTCCAGCTAATTCCTTTTCATATAATTTTCTAGGATTTTTAGAGTCGTAATTTGCCAAACAAGAACATTCAATCTTATCTTGTTTTACCTCATCCCATGTTAATTTTTCAGCAATTTTTTTGTCCCTCTCTTCTTGATATGATAACACTAGTTGATGTCCAGCAGCATTTTTTTCATATATTTTTTCTTCCAGGATTTGTTCATTTTTAGCCAAATTGAAGTCGTTTCGTGCTAAGGCACTCCTCTGTTTATTGCCACAAAAATGTTTGTCAAATTCCTCCGTTTGCAAGAGATAAGCCAGGGCACCGTCTTCTTTAACCATCCAATTCAAGCAAACGTCTCTAACTCGTCCAGTTTCAGGATATTCTTCACCTGGTGTGTTATTCATTGTATAAAAGAATAAATTTGTATTTACTTCAAAACTAAGTACTATTTCTCTTTGCGCTCAACCTTTGAACTAATCACTACTTACAAGTTACTTCTGATACAGTAAGTCGATACTTGGGTACTTGGGGAATTTCACAGATATATCATACATAAAAATGTACCACCGTACATTGAACGCGCTATTAATAAATTTATAAGTGGGACTTTTTAAGATAACCGACTGAAAGTGTCTAATATCCCGTTCGTCACGACGTTATCGTAGCCGATTGTAGCAGATTGGGTTAATGCCACTGAACTTCAGTTAGTGTCGAATTAGACAGTAGGAGACAATAAAAAATCCTGCAAACCGAAAAATGTATATACCACATACCTAGTAGCTATTCTTAAAGCGAGCGCTGGTCGTGCTATAATAGTATATCTATCTGTTTGAAAATATGTTTAAAATCTGTTTTTCCGTTAATCAGCTGTCGCCCCCATACGAACAACAACTCTCAGAAGTTGAGAAACTTGTGCGAGCTAAGGAATAACGAGGTCTTACCTTTTAACGTGTGATTCCTGGGATGCAGAATCATCCCAGCTTCAACCAGATAAATTCTCTCGAGAAAAATATCTGGTCGAGGCGGGAATCGAACCACCGTGGCCAATTCCACACATATATAAATATATCTATTAAAAACACTTTTTCCACCCCAGAACAAAAGCTGTCTCTCAACGCGCGTTTGTTTCATCAGGAAATGATGACTAAATCTTACGGTTAATTTAATGTTTTCATAATGTTAATTACTAACTGTTATGATACCTACCTGTAATTATTTCGTATCAGAGTGAAGAGTTTAACCGATCGCAGTATATCAATAATTGTTCTTAGCTATTTAATATAGCGTTTTACCATTATTTCACTCGTTTACTATCGCTTACTATTGCTGAGGACTTTCTTAATTAGGTAGCGTTCCAATATTCTTAGTTGTGCTAGAAATCACATGTTGAACTCATTTTAATCTTTGAAAAATCATGTTATTGTTGAGTTTATTCATTTCGATTGTGAAAACGAAATATCACAAATAACTGAATCAATTGTGTTTTGATTTGAAAGATAATTCACAAGGTTGAAATTTTCTCTATTATCTTTGCTTTATTCAGTTGTGTAATGAATATTACTGGAGTTTTATCCCAACACCAAACCGTTATTTTAACACCTAGACACGCGTTTCGACCACCAAGTGATCATCTTCAAATAGAAGATCAAATCAGTTTAATATTTCTCTTTTACGGAGAATTTGACTTGCATTCATCGTTCGAGAAAAATAAGACGTTGTTTGAGGTAAGAAAGTTTCATTTGAACTCTTTGGGTGCGTGAAAAGGTATTTCATGAAGATATTTATTCGCGATATCAAAATAGTATAGAATAAAATTGGTGTTTTTGGATTAGGTGCATCACCGCGAAATGTCTGAAAATACAAACAAAAATCATCATCTTGTCTAATATACTATGGATATATCATATCCAAGATGACCGTTAAATGAGAAATCACATTCTGTATATCTCGGCAGTTTTCACTGCATGGTAAAAAATGAGACTAAAAGATAACAAGATTTTAGTTTTCTGTCGATTGCATAGATGGCATTGTCATAAGAGATGTTCATACATACTTATATCCATTTTTTTTTATTTCAGTGGTATCGACTACTATGGTCATGACCAGTCCAAAGGGTAAGGGAGCAAGGCTCCAGCCTGAAAGATATCAAGATGACTACTATGGCCATTAGCCTCGTGGTATGGGTGCGTTATGTTGATCATGCTAGTCATTTGCAGCCAGTTATGTAACGTAGTAGAATCAATCCACCTTAAACTAGATAAATTCTCACATGAAAAATATCTGTTAAAGGGGGATTTTAACTCTCGATCTTTGGTTTGAGGATAGTTGAGTTCAACAGTGTATTTGTGTTTCACTCTAGCACCACTGATGGGACCGATGGCAGGTCGAAACAGGGCGACCTGGTGCTTTGTTTTCAACTGAGGTTTCAGTCTGTAACATTCTTTGTGGATTTTCTGAAGATGTTAATATACATTTCCGAAGGCACATGAAAATCAATTCCGTATTGATCATGAACCCAATCGAGCCCAGTGGGTCATTGAAATAATCGATATGATTTCAATACACAATATTTTTATTGTTCAAATTATTTTTACATTCAGTGATAGGCAGGCCCTTACATCGATTGTCTTCATATGAATAACGTACATACTTACTAAAATAATATTTAATTCATACAAATACTGCAATTGCTGAAATTTATTAAACCTAAAGAAAATAGACAATATGGCGAAATAACATTACCAGATATAATTCCGATAAATATATGAAATATATTTTTGAATACAATAAAAATGGTAACGTCCAATATAATTTTCATTATCACAGTGATATAGACAATAAAATGTTTTGATATATCTTTCACTTTAGCATCTTCAATATATTGTCAATATATTTTTATGGTCCACTATATTTTTAAGTACATTTTATAAATAAATAAATTAAAGCAATTTTTCAACAACCTTAACCCAATTATTATTTCTTTTGCTCTTCAGTCAATGGTCAAATATCTAGGAAATGGTGTTTGTACAGAAAATTGGACATTCAATATTTCATTTCATTCAATAAATGAATTTGACTGAAGCTCTCAAAATTTCACAGTTCAATTTATTTAGACTGAGCTAAATTTAAAAATTCCTCTCTTGTTTTGGGATCATCGCGGAATACTCCCAACATGGTTGAAGTAACTGTCTTACTATTGATTTTCTGAACTCCTCGCATAACCATACACATGTGCCTGAAAAAATAAAAACAAAATTAAAAAAATGCAATGGAGTCTGTCATAAATACTTTAGACAGAATGAATGGATGTATTAATGATGATTCGAAACATAAGGAAACCGTTGATCATTCGATAAAACTCGCAGAGGTTGACTAAGCCTGAAAATAAACGAAATGTTATTACCCGAGGTTTGTGGACACAAATGATTGAAACGTTATTGTCGATATTCTGATTTGATGCTTGTTTTTAATATTTTTCTATTTCACGAATTATTTATATTATGATGTATTAATATATCTTGTATTAGAACTTTATAGTCGATATATTTTATAGTCATGACTCAACTTGAATTATTGCAGATATTCCTTCCTTATAGTCTTTTGGAGACTAGGAAATTTCTAGAATACTATAGAATTCTATGCTATTCTAGAGAAGTGTGGAACGTTTGAAATATTCTATATTGTATTATTGTGATCACAGCTGATAAATATTGTTCGAGAGGTTTGAAAATTCGATTTGGATCCTAGGTTTAAAATCTGTTTTTCCGTTAATCAGCTGTCGTCCCCCTACGAACGACAACTCTCAGAAGTTGAGAAACTTGTGCGAGCTAAGGACTAACGAGGACTTACCTTTTAACGTGTGATTCCTAACACGGTTCGTTTATCATTCCCGCTTCAAGAACATCCAACGTGAATC